TTGTAATTTTATGTGATGAACAACTTTGTTCCAAAATAAAACCAAATTGCTAAACACAAAAACCAAACTTCAATTCGCAAAATAAGTAATTAAAAGATACCCTCATCGGAGTGTACAATTTCTGATTTCAATGTAATCAACTTTTTACTATTTAATCTGAAGACTGGATGGGTAAATGCAAGATTCAGGATCTACTCAATCATTTTTGTTACTATGACCACAGGTATGGTAAATAGGTGTTTCCGTTATAAATTTTATGTTCTTATTACCTAGATTCACATATAAGTAATTAAAGTAGGAGAAGATTACCCCTTTTTGTGGAAATTAATTTTATTTATTGACATTCGGGTTTGAGTAGAGAATAATATCTGTCATCTTAATATGCATTGACACCTCAACTGCTCAGCAGTTGCTGCGGAAATTAGAAAATATGCAGGAACTCATTCTATACTGCTTTTAAAATATATTAAGGAAAAAGTTAGCATACTTCTCAATACATCAGGCCAGCTCTGGTTAAGCCACATAACTTCTTTTTCGTTTAATTTAATAAAAGGACTTTTTTTGCGGTAAGAAAACTTCAGAAACTACAGTGTTAAACTTGAACCCATCAAAAACCACCTCTAAGAAGTGATTGTAATAGATCCCCCTAAATGTAGCTATAACCCTATTCCAGTAATCAAAACTAGACAGCAGAGCAGATGGGTTTAGTATTTAGCAAACTAAATTTATCAAGGTCGAAAAATATGGTTTTCTTTATTCAGTAGGTGGAGTTTATGCAACCTCACAAGAGGGTCTAGCTAATTATAAACTCTACACTCGCAATCATGATAGCGCCGATTATAGAATTCAAAAAAAAAGGCTATACAAAACTCATATTAGTGCTCTTATTTATGCACTTTAAGGGTTCGATGGGAAAATGCAAGATTCGAGATTTCCGCAATAATTTTTGTTACAGTATCCACAGGTACGGTATATGCACGATTGGATTAAAAGTCTCATTTTCTTGAAAACAAAACTTAACTCGATATAAAGTTATACATTTAAAAAGCTGACATAGGAAGGGATTACCTCGTTTTATTTAAACAAGAACCATGTTAACCATTAATGTTCGAGAATAAAGAATAAGCTGAAACTCATTTTATACTGCTACAAAGGTATATAAACTATTCAATCAATCTTTTAATAAGATTGAAGACGAGATCCCATCTTATACATTTTCACCAGGCAATTAGTCGTATTCCTAATCACGTGTCAATGAGCTTAGAGAAATATTTTAAACCCATTTTTTGAACATATTATTTCAGTTGTGAACAATATAGTTTAGTACTGGAGTAATGGAAATAGATGCTATCAAAAATAATTATACTCACATATATAAAGAATACGTTATTATTATTAAATAATGTTCTATGAATGCACTCTTATCTTAAAGATCTAGCCTAACGACCCAATTAAAACAATTCTAGACTATTGATAAATCTCGTAATTGATCTAGCTTATTTTTATCTATTTGATCTGGAACTAAGAACCCGCTTCCAGGGTAGTCAAGTCAACGTCTTGCCACCGCTGGACAGTTGCATAGAATATGTTCTGATGTTTCCTTCGTCTCATGGCAAAGTCGACAGGAATCAGTTTCTACTGCTCAAGAAATACGTTAAGAAAGGATTGAATATTTTAGAATAAAAATTAAAAAGTGGAAAAAACTATCAAACTATGGTATTTCTTAACTAACTTTGTTTGAAAATTTAATAACTCTAACAGAATAACTCTCAAGTTTAAAAGTGTTGCGACTATTTGTATTAGTAGGATTAAAATTCCGAGTCAAAACTGTATAGGACTTTTATGTGGATATATAGTCTTATATGATATTTTGCTTCACATCAGTAACTGTTGAAATAAGTCACGACAAGTTATTTTTTGATAGTAGATTAAATAAAAAGTGTTTCCTAAGTTCCTCACAACACTACTAATACAGAAATATAAGGATCCTCTTTATCTTAATAAAGCACGAAAAAGCTACCCATTCACATTGTATAATATAATATATAAGCTTCAGTCACATACAAACCTCTGAGAACGAAACTAAAAATGCAAAGTGAGGTTATTGCTTTCCACCTTAAGCTGTAACCCCTATGGCTTAAGAGTAAAATGTAAATTAAATCTGAACTGGAAGTAAATATTTATTCCCTATTAATAATGAAAAAACAAATAAAACTCATTTACTATGAAATTTTTTCACATGACAGCCTAGTTTGTACTATTTTATATATAACATCGTCACAAAATTAAATTTTCCCTATATTATTACTTTTTTTTTGCCAATACTCAAATATTTGACGATACTCTGCGGTGATATAATTATATATTACTGTGTCGATATAAATATATAATTACCATAGTTTTATTGAAGGAAAGGATTTTTACTTCCTTCTTGCTTCACTCATACATACGACCACTTCGTTCTTACATTTTAATTTACATTTTTACTGGTTAACGATGCCTTCAGCGGTTGCCACATTAATTAAAATTTAATTCAGATTAAAATATGTCTGCGGCCGGCATAACACTTCAGTGACTCGTAAAGTGCATAAACTATAATCAGTCAACACGAAACTGAAGAACACTGATACTTCGCTGCATTGGAAATGGTCCCTATTAAATCTGCCTGCTCACTTAAATGAATGCGGTTTAATATTTTCACAAGATAAATTAATGTTACTCATACGCCACGATGTCACGTATGACATATAAGATGCGCTTTTAATCTTTTTTAATTATTAAAACTGCAGTAAAAATGCATGAAGAAGCAAAGAGATTTAAAGGGAAATTGTGTAAAAATTCTTTATTTGATGCTCAACTTTAACTTTAAGTTAGGTTGAAACAACTATCAACATGCCTGGTATGTGCGGTGCGGTGCATGCAAAACCGCCTGCATAAAGATAACCAATATTGGTTTTGTTGCAAACTAATTGCTCGTAAAAGTACACCTACGGCAAGTAGCTCACGTAATGGGCAGTTTTGCACAATAAACTGATTTATACCGTAAAAGTACAATGCACTTCTATAAATCAATAAGCCTTACAGCACACAAGGATACCCAATAATGTTGAGCAGCAACAACTACTTAAGCATGTATAACCCATTAAAAATTTTTCATATCTGTTTGTGTGGATGTTGATGAGATGTAACTATTCCATATGTACTTACCTAAAAAATTTTCATAAATTCTGTGCTCAAGTAAAGTTTAGCAAAGTTATTAAAACCTGGAAGGTATTTTCACCATAAAGTTTCTATTATCTAATTTTAAATTATTCCTAAACTTTAACTGCTGCTGCACTCGTTCTTTAATTTATGAATTTACACAAAGCCCATTGACTTTATTAAAAATTTTAAATACTTTTGGAAGTGATATTTGGTAAATAATTTTCAGATTTCCCATACATATTTATGAGAGAGAGACAGAAAACAATAATTTTATTTATTATGAATCAAATGAAATTTAAATAAAATATGTGTGTTTATATACATATACATATAATACATTTCTTATATATATAATGGTTAAATCATTACTTTATGTCCAACTCTGAACGAAATAATACCAAATTCTTTAATTCACTAAAAATGTTTTGTTTTACTGATTTAATATATTTATAATTTAAATTACATATGTTTCTCAATTGAAATGGTTTGGATACACAGGATTGTTATATGTGTTATATGTCATATATATTTAAATTTATTTTCCAAGACCACTGATGAGCCAAAAATTCAATTAATTAAAACAATATAAAAAATAAAATTTTTGTTGTTGTAGTTTACTACTGTTCGAAAAAACATCTCTATAAATTTGTTTTGTAATAAATTTTTACTTTTTGACGAATTGATGCGCGCTTTTCAAGACCAACTTGGGTACATATAACAATATTGTGTACCAATATGCCTTGGTATTTAAACATTCATATATTTTATATATATAAAAAACATTAGTATAAAGAGAAAATATTTATTTTTCACAACATTCGCAATTTCAATACAGAATCATTATTAGTATTAGAGTGATAAAGCTACTACTGACCGAAATTCTTTTGCATTGGAGTTCAGTACTGAAATGCCAACTACAAGTCATGGTATGTTTTCCCAAAATCCATCAGATGAACTTATTTCAATACCTGGTCAAGTCACCGCACTTAGAGAAATGCAAAATGAATTAGGTTCTACCACAATGACTAAATGTAACAGAAATACTCATATTGAGCAAAGTGGTTTAACTGTGGAAGAAATTATAAAGTTGTCAGCGCGATTAGCAGATCATTCAGAGGCAAAACCCAACAGATGCCCTATTAACCTAAGGGTGTAATAAAAAATATAAGGGCTTGAACGGACAAAATCATCACATTAACGCTCCTCGCAACAGAGAATCAAACCAGTCCACAAAAGGAAAAAATCTAAACAAGCAAGTGAATGTCCTGCACAACCAGCTGAACATATGACACAACCTTCAGCAGTGCGTTCTTCTCACAAAACCAAAAATATATACATGGAACAGGACATTGATGCCATAAACCTATGAATAACTACTCCAAATATCCTATAAAATATTTCTTTGATGCTTATAATCCAACAAAATATTTGCATTTAAAATTTAAATTTTATTTTTTCGTTCCTTCCTTAAGGTAATGCCAATAAATTCCGGACTCGGGTCCCTCATGGACTGAAGACAAAAAGTTTTGTACCATTTATGTATTTTCAAATTACTGTTACTGGAATATTTAAATCATGATATTTAGCAACAGTTCTTGAGCAGTTAAGTCTCCCATCGAGGAGATATATCTTTGATGGAAAGTCAGTTATTACGTTAAAGACCGGTTTGAGGTATATGTAAATCGTATAAAAAATTTGACAAAGCAAGCATTGTTATTTTAAAATGAAAAATATTTTTTAATTTCAAAAAAACATTTCTTTAAAAAAAAAGTTATTATTCTTTTTACTATTCTCATTTGGCTTTAGTTGTTTATTTATTTGGAGTGGTTTCTTTTTTAATTTAATAAAAATTTTAAATTATTTTGTCAATTGAAAGGAGATCAAATAATCTAATTAAGGTTAGTGCTTTATTATATATTTTTGCTTAACCCAATATTAGTTAAACAGAAATCGAGACATGGTTTACAATATTAGTTACTAACATCATCATAATTCTAGTATCATAAAAAATTAGAAATTATTTCAGATCAGTAGTAATACTGCAAAAATCTAACTCCGGCATATTGATTCATTATTTCATACCTTTTTAAATTTGTTAGTATATGATAATACCAATAACATATGGATAATATGAAAATATTAAATAATTTATTATAATAAATAAAAATATTATTTATCTACTTATTATAATAAATGAAATAAAAAGATATTTTGGTTGTGTTATAATATCATATAATGAAATACATATAATAATATTAATTTTTTAAATATAGTTGTGGACATTCAGTGTATATAATTTTTTTTCTTGCCTGTCTTTAGATCATTTTTTCTTATATTATATTAATTAATAAATATATATAAATATATATAACTACGTTGAGAGTATTTATTCACATATATTTTAAATGATTTAATATTTAATAATATAAACCAAACAAACGACTTAAAGCCTGATGAAAATACAAATTATTTTTAGTACATTATATGTATTCTATAGTACTATATATATATTACTATAAACCCCTATATGTAAAGTTAATAATATATATAATATATTGCCTAAAAGCAAAAGTGTCTCCAAATGTTGATTTAGATTTTGTAATTGTAAATATACAAAAAAAAACCATTGAAATTTTATTTATGTTAAATTTATGTATACATTAACACATGCAATTAAGGTCTTTCAGTAAGCTAGAAGAATTTATTTATACATAAATAATAATTATTTTCGTTTAGAAAAGTAGTCGTTGGAATAAATATCTTGAAAAATAAATGGATCTTAAAAATTCCTAAAAAAAATATATCAAAATAATACTTTTATATAAATCTTCATTTTAACTTATTTTGAAGTATATTTAGATAAAATTTAGATAAAATTTAGATAAATACTCGAATTCAGTTATTATTAAAAGTAATCTTATAAATTCTTTAGTGCAACTACATACGTACATTATGGCACCTATTCCGATACAATCGTTGTATAGTTTTCAAGCGGTATCCGATATCAGAGATTACAGCCCCACTGTGCTTGATGGTAATTGGAATGAACTCAGGTATCGTCAGGCTGTGAACCCACATGCTGTAGTTCCCTGTGTCTTAGCACAGCGTGAGTGCAAAAAGAAGACAACTACTTTTCATGATAGTTATCCATATCACGGTAAGAATGACCAGATAACAGATGATTTTCTTAACATCAAATGTACGAGTTTTAAACGAAAAGAAGCAGCGGCTACTTCTAGAGGTGTTATGCGACTTCTTGATGAATTCCAAGAGAACTTGACATCCATGAATGATATTCTATTTAAACTCGTACCAAAATTACCAGAACCAGTATTTGAAGATGGCATACCTAGGGCGCGTAAAATTGATACTCTCCAGTGTTATGGAAATCAAACCAATTTCGGTTTGCGTGAGTGGATCAAGTGTAAAGTTCTTAAGGAGGCCTTCAGAACTTTTCATCTCTCAGAGTATAAGCAAAGTTATGTCAATCCAAAAACAATTAAAATAATACCGTTTACCAGAATATAAGCATCATTCATTTGTGAAAAATCTTTAAGTTGGTGCAACCATAAGATCATAGTTGGAATTGAAAAATTAAGTAAATTTAAAAGAATGAAGTAAAGTTAATTATGAAATGAAATTCGTGATTTGTATATATCTTTGTGATCTTTTACATACATGAGTAGTTCATGTATTCATGTTTAAACATGATATTCAAATCGAAAAACTAAAATAAATGAATGAAAAAAAAATTTTTTGTAATGTGTTATTTCAATGCAAATACTTTGGCAGAATATAGGTTCAATCCTTTTAGAAAAATACCTGATAGGAAAGCGTTTGATAGTTGTAAAAACTACATAAAACGATAACCTCTTGTGCACTTAACACGAAATAGCTCAGTTACTTCTTTCGCTTAAGCATGAGTGCCGGTCACCATATTTTTTAAGATGTTATTCTCTTCCCTATAAAATTTATAAGTCACACTACAGTAACTCTCCAATTTCGTAAGGTAAATGATGTTATGATTTTTATATCATGTTTCCACTGCGGCTAAATCAATTTATGTTAATCAAATTAAGATTTTTTCTTATCTACATGTAACAAATTTCATGTAACAAATATGGCAAATTTCGATAATTTCCCTTTTGGGAAATAAATTTTCTCTTGATTTATTCTTATACTATGTTCGGACAACTAATTTCCCTTAATTTCATTATAATGAAATTAAGTTAATTTCGTTAAAATGAAATTAAGTTAATTTCGTTAAAATTAAGTTAATTTCGTTAAAATGAAATTAAGTTAATTTCGTTAAAATGAAATTAAGTTAATTTCGTTAAAATGAAATTAAGTTAATTTCGAAAGTATTCATACTGTCCCAAATTAAGTAAATCATATGCTTTTTGTTTACAAATCTAATTCATATTTGTGAAATAAAAAAAATTGATTATTATAAATATAAAGAATGGCAATCAGTACCTTTATTAGCTTTAGTGGATTTCAGGTATATGAATATTTATTTTTCACTATATTTTAAATTAATAACAGTTACAGTTCTTTCTCTCTATTCAAATTTAAAAATTTGCACTATCAAAATATTTTCCGGTTTAATTAAAGTCAATTGTCATTGATATTTATTTTAAAAAAATGTAATTTTTTTGTTATCTGTACTTTATCTTTTGCTTATAATTTATCTTTTTCAAAGTTGCATTTAAAATATCCCTTAATTTCAGCCTTCGTTGCAATGAAATTAAGTCCATTTTTCTTAATTTCATTCTAACCTCAAAAGTGAATTTTTTATGGAAAAACCAACTTAATTTCGCGGAAGATGAAATTACGATTTTGTTAACAATACAATAACAACTACGTTAAAGAAACATATTATGGCATTCAAGTATTCTATTTATTGCTGATAGTGTTTTCCCTTCAAGTAGTACTTATGGTAGAACGTTGGAATAGCGCACCGTTCAACAAGTGACCCCACTGAAGTGAAAGATTAGTCGATGTAGACCACGAAACTCCTTCAAGTAGAACATATGCTTGTTTTTGTTTTCGCACCATTGGATATGAGACTATATGTTTTATATATCTTGTTTTGAAAGATCTTCGGATGTAGGATTGTATATTTTATAACCAACCTCCATGACTGGTAAATAAAATTATTTAGGGATGATTAAACATTATTCAAGATTTTCATTCCGCTGATTAGTTCTTAGTCATCCATTGCAAGACAATTTTGAGTTGTCTCTTTTTCTCTGTAGTTTAATAGTATTTAGGTATAAAGTTACGCCACCTCGCTCTGTAAAGAGCAAAGGATTGAGATGGAAGGTATAGGATATTATTACTTTTTCAGTATTTGATCCTGCGAGCTATTGTTCTGTGAGCAAATCAACTTATATTTATGCAATATATTTCAATTTGAGTACGTGTTCTACGAGCAGAATAATTTCTCAACCTTATATCATCCTAATCAACTTCAAGCAACATCTCTCTCCAAATTCCACAAAAGGTTACTATAAATTTTTGCGTGTTTAAAGTAATTTGCATCTCCAAATGCTCATGTAATTCTTTTATTATGTATGACACATCAAACAAATAAATTAACAACAACATTTTTGCGATTACAAATAAATTGTTTTATCTCGTTTAATACAAAATTTATTTTCGAAACTAATTTTCTTGTTTTGAATTATATTTTTGCAATAAACATTGCAAATGAAAGTTCATTTGTGGTGAACATGCACAAAAGTAGTGCACCGTACACATTTGCAACGACTTTTTTCTGCGGGATGTATCAATTCGCTTTCTCATTGCTAGTCGAAAAAGTCAAGCTTTTTGTCAGTTAACCTGTTTCCGGATGTACTGCGACCCCATTTGTGTCATTTCAGTAGAGAGTTGTGCTTCAATTTTAAAATACAATGAGACTTTGTCATGCAACTGCAACAAAAACTGCAGCAGCAGCAACAGCAACAACAACTACAAGTACAATATGCATTTTGTACCCGTACACTCATGGATTGGTTACACTGATTTACGAGTAATGCCACTTTTGCCAGTGCGCACCACAATGAGGCATCCCAGCGGTGGGCTATTGTGCTGCTCCCACATTGTCAAATACCGTTTCGCCGATAAAAAATGCAAAATATAAAAATCTGGGTTTTTGTGTCGATTTGATGCACAGAAACATATTCACAAATAATATAATGTTAAGCTTAATGCTAATATATTACATTATTATATTAAAATAAATTATAATAAGTTCAATAAAAGTTTAATAATAATTTAAGAGGTGTTTAAATTCAAACTTATATAAAGTTTTTGGTTATGCTTTAATTTTTAATATTAATAAAAATTATTTTCTGTATATCAGAACCTATAACATCTCAAATATAAACATCCTACTTACTCAGCGACGGAACAACTTTTTACTTCATTAAAACTCCAACTATTAGTTTAATTGGTGGGTTTCTGCACTTAACTCTCAACATAGTATGATCCTTTAAGGGAAGCAGTGCTTGCTATAATTACTCCTGCATTTTACACATTAAATTAGTAATACGAACCGTAGGCTCAGAAGTGTTTCTAGTCTAAATGTTTTATGCTTTATTGCACATAACACGATTCGCAGGGAAGCGTAAATTAAAGTCACGTATACGCAGTGTGAGCCACACCACAAAGTCTTTAGCGGCAAGTCCTTTTAACGTAGATTGCAAGTTGCAACTCAGCGTCGGCAAAGGAAATGCATACTTTGTAGTGAGACTCTTAAAGCAAATCTGAGGTATCTATTACGAGTTTGAGCACTGATGCAAAATTTGTTAAAATTATTTAAGTTAAACTAAAAAATAAATTATAATACACTAAACACAGCGTATGTTTGTCTAAATTATCCGAGATCACTATCTTAGAATACTTTTTATTAAATTTTAATTAATTTTTGGATTGCATATATTTTGCATTGTTCAAAAGTACTGTTTAAAAAATATACGTTACAATTATTTAGAAGTATCAGACCACAGATCATTCCTAAGTGAGTGGTATCTGATGACAAAAATTTAATACAAAACTAAAAAAATCATTATATAGTAACTTCTAAATGTCGTAGATTGAAGTTCAAAGCACCAGCAAATGATATATTTCAAATCTGAATAAGTGATAAGTCATCTGGAAGTGATGAACATAATCCATTGAATTTTCTGTCCATTACTTATTTGTGGATACAAAACTTATTTTTGTACGGCTGTTCGGAAAATAATTTCCTTTCCTTTAAAGAAAATGCATAACAGGGAATAAATAGGGAATAAATTTTTTAATGAATCAATATTGCGCATTCCAATCCAATATCTTTAGTCTTACTTCGGCTAGTAGCTTGATTCCACCGCTTACTAACCTTTTGTTCTTTGCTGGCAAAAAAAATGATTCAGATAATTTTTGTCTACCTAATTTGAAACAAAAGCTTAGCTAGTCTGTGGGTAAGAAATAAATTAATAATTATCTGAAAAGTGCCAGAGCACAAACTTTTTCCGTCAGAACATGAGAAACCCACGTCTCGAACTTTAAGATAAATCCTGAGCATTTTAAATGTAAACAAACACCAATCTAAGTATTTTTTATACTCCGGTTAATCAAATTCTTTTAATAAAACTTAGTAGGTTAGTTTAGAAAATAAAATATTTTTATATATTGAAAACAATATTATCATTTGAAATATTTTTTGTATACAGTGCGTTTAGAAATCGTTTATCAAAAAAATAGATGAAAATGAGGTCGTTTCATAAACCTCAGCGTAAACGCAAAAAGTCGTCAAATGTAGGTTCAGTCTCACAAGTTAAAAAAGTTGTTGTTGGTCGTGAGGTCTTAAGCGTTTTTTCTGGATTTTTTTAGCAATGCTGTTAAAGCTGTTACTCAAAATGAGTCCCACTTCAATAAAATTGTACCAACAGATCCAGAATTTGTAGTTGATAATAGTTTTAACAAAAATGAAACCGAAAAAAAAGAAAAGGAAAGTGAGCTAAACAGCAGCTGTTCCAACAATGGAAGCCATATTAATTTACAAAGTAATCTAACAGCCATGAAGAACAAATTCACATCTGCAGAAAAATCAAACAATATTGAGAAAGCGAAGTTAGTTTCCATTCCAAATAAATTGGAAAATAATGATTATTTCAACTGGACTTCAGTTCAAGAAACCAAAAAGGAAGAAAAAGAAAGTGAGCTAAACAACGGTTATTCCAACACTGAAAATCATATTAATGTAGAGACTAATCTAACAGCCATGGAGAACAAATTCACATCTGCAGAAAAATCAAACGATATTGAGAAAGAGAAGTTAGTTTCCATTCCAAATAAATTGGAAAATAATGATTATTTCAATTGGACTTCAGTTCAATCAGCGTGGAAAACTAATCCTTCTGTAGAAAAATCTTATCAAAAGCTAGGTAGTGAGCTATTGAATTACGATCCAGGACCATCAGGTTCACCAAAACAAAGTAAACGTAGAAAGCAATCGCCCAAATTCACAACCCATGATAACAAGTCTTCTATCCTTGCAAATAAAAAAACTGTTTGTCAGCCTGATGCTAAGTTTAACTTATACCAACTGGATTCAAAGTCTGAAAAAAAGGCGATACCTGTCAACATCACCCCTCTGGAAAGTGTTTTTCCAGAAGTTATAAATTTCCTTAAGAATGTTGT